TTTTTTTTACGGGGGGGGGGGGGGGGTGTCTTATAATTCTAGTTACATATCTTATTAATCTCTTTAACTCTGCATCTAGTCAATCTTACATGATGAAGCACAACTGCTTTACTTTTTCTTTACTTACTTCACAGAGTTGTATCCTTATGGTGCAGATGTGGGTGACTCAGTGATCCAAACAAGTGGGGGAGATAATTGGTATTACTGGTATGATGCCATCAGTGAACCTATCACATTTACAGGTGGTGTCCCCTTTGGCTCTAAAAAACTCAAAGAAGCTTAAGTAAGTCTTTCAAAATTTTTGTTTTATTTTATAAAATATTTAATACTTTTATTAATATACATTTAAAAAAATTATGTCTATATACCATTACAAATTTTTTTTTAAATATACCCGATACATTACATTAATCACAAATTGTTTTGCATTAACATTTAACCAAAACTTCAGGTTCTTCCAAATGGTCTCATGACATTTGGCAAACAAAAGAGAGTTTGGTATCCAAACCTGGATTACACTTACTCGACTATACCAACCCCCAACGTACTTGCTCCATTTTGGACTTACACCAACCCCAAACAGACAGGTACAGTTTATTACCACCATTATGAGCTGTCAAACTCCAGGTCCCCTCAAGTGACAGCTGTATTCACAAGAGCTAATACAGAGGTTAGTTTAATAAAAATGTATTAGTACTATGTATGTTTATAACTCAATGTATTTATAAGATAAGATTCATTGATGATCCAAATAAATAGATTTTTATAACATTTTATTACATAATTGTATATATTCATTTTCAGCAAATACATAAATACATACAATTTTAGCCAAGAAAACATGTTGCAATCATAATAATTTTAAAGTACTTCTCTAGCGTAGAAATCAGCCATCAATGAACTCTTTACTTATATTTTTTACTTACTTAGTCATCATTTAGATTTGGTAACCGCTGAGGGGAACATGCATAGTAAATTCGTGCAGATATAAAAATATCATGGCAAAAAAATATCTTTATAAATGTAACTGGATACTATTTTTTTTTAAAAGCAGAAGAATTTTTTCTCTCCTTCCAAATTAATCTATATATATGTAAAAATGAATGTTTGTATGTCTGTATGTATGTCTGTATGTATGTATGTATGTCTGTCTGTCTGTATGTCTCGTATGCGCTCCTACACCATTCATGCGATTGCGACAAAACTTTGGACAGTTGTTTTCCACATAACCGGTCATTTAACTGAGTCATTACTATCCTTATCAAATGTTTCATTTCCAGCCGTTGGCCCTTCATTGTTTTTTTTTCTTATATGAGCTATGTCAAAAATAATTTCCATATGCGCTCCTACGCCATTTATCCGATTCGGATAAAACTTTGGTGAAATGTTGCAAGCATGTCCATAAAGGTTTATAAATTATTACAACCGTTTTAAAGTATTCAGTTTTGAGCCAGGGGCCCTATATTCATTTTTCCTTATATGAGCTATATAAATATATTTTCAAACCGTATGCGCTCGTACACCATTAATGCGATTGCTACAAAACTTGGTGAGTTGTTGTCCATGTGCTAGAGCATTTTACTGTGTTATTTAAATACTTTTAAAAATACTTCGTTTTCGGCCGTTGGCCCTTAATTCGTATTGTTTCTAATATGAGCTTTGTAAAAAATAATTTCCGTATGCGCCCCTACGCCATTTATTCGATTGAAAAATAACTTTGGTGAGATGTTGGGAGCATAGCCACAAAGGTTTCTAAATTATTATAATTTTTTCAAAATATTCCGATTTGAGCCAGGGGCCCTATTTAAGTTTTTTTCTTATACGAGCTATATAAATATATTTTCAAACCGTATGCGCTCCTGCACCATTCATGCGATTGCGACAAAACTTTGAAGAGTTATTATCCATAAACATACCCATTTTACTCATTCATTACAACACTTTTAAAATATTCCGTTTTCGACTGTTGACTCAAATTCTTATTTTTTTCTTTTATGAGCTTTGTAAAAAATAATTTCCGTATGCTCTCCTATACCATTCTTCAGAATGCGATAAAAATTTATTGAGATGTTTTGCTATCGCCCACAAAGGTTCTTAAATTGCTGCAACCGTTTTAAAATATTCAGTGTTGAGCCAGGGGACCTATGTTTGTTTTTACAAAATGAGCTATATAAATATAATTTCAAACCGTATGCGCTCGTAGATCAAGCGATTGCGATAAAACTGAGGTGAGTTGTTGTCCATAATCCAGAGCATTTTTCTAAGCCATTATAACCCTTCTAAAATATTCCGTTTTTTGGCAATTGGCCCCAAATTCGTGTTTTTTTCCTTATACTTAGGAGCTTTATAAAAAATAATTTCCGTATGCGCTCCTCTACATTATTAGACTGCGATAAAATTTTAGAGAGATGTTGTGCGCACGCCCTCAAAGGTTTCTTAAATTATTACAACCATTTTAAAATACTCCGTTTTTTAACCAGGGGTCCTAATGTTCGTTTTTTCTATATAAGCTATACAACTATAATTTCAAACAGAGCTAATGCATGGATGGATAGCTTTTTAATCAAATACAAATAGTGATATTAAATTGAGTGTGTGACATATTAAGTAGGTTTCTGAAGTAATACAACAATTCTACAATTTCCATTTGTGGCGAGGGGCCCTAAATTCGTTTTCCACACTTCTATTATCTATATAATTATCGTATGCATTTCTATACCATTTAATCGATTGTGATAAAACTGGGTCAAGTGAAATGCGCACTACCGCAAATGTTTCTAAATTAGAAAAAACATTTTACAATATTCCGTTTGGGCCAGTGACCGTAATTTCATATTTTCTTCCAAGAGCTTTATAACTATAATTTCAAACAGAGCTATTGCATGTGTGGATGGAGCTGAATACGCCAGCAAATTTTTCAAATTTAGTACATCCATTGTACAATATTCCAATTAGGGCTGGGACCCTAAATTCGTTTTGTTTTCTTAAATGAGCTTGATCAATATAATTTATAACGGAGATATCAACACTACAGCCTTGAACAAATGACACATTTGTAGTAAAGCAGAGAAAACACGTTTTTGCATTTTTAGTGTAGAGAGTATTTTTGTTATGT